TGTGTGTCAGGTGGTGTAGGGAGGTTGTGTGTCAGGCTGTGTAGGGAGGTTGTGTGTGAGGTGGTGTAGGGAGGTTTTGTGTCAGGGTGTGTAGGGAGGTTGTGTGTCTGGTAGTGTAGGAAGGTTGTGTGTCAGGTAGTGTAGGAAGGTTTTGTGTCACAGGGTTTAGAGAGGTTAAGTATGTCAAATGGTGTAGGGTGGCTTGGTGTTTAGTATATGTTTAGAAGATTGTATGTCAGGTTGTCTTGAGTAGATTGTATGTCCTGTGGTCCTGAGAAGATTGTGTGTGGGGGTGGTTCTGAGTAGATTGTGTGTATTGTGGTCCTGTGTAGATTGTGTTAGGGGTTGGTCCTGTGTAGATTGTGTGTGGTGTGGTCCTGCGTAGATTGTGTTTCAGGAAATGTTGTGTATGAGGTGGTGAAGGGAGGTTGTGTGTGAGGTGGTGTAGGGAGGTTGTGTGTGAAGTGGTGTAGGGAGATTGTGTGTAAGGTGGTGTAGGGAGGTTGTGTGCGAGGTGGTGTAGGGCGGTTGTGTGGTAAGGTGGTGTAGGGCGGTTGTGTGCGAGGTGGTGTAGGGAGGTTGTGTGGTAAGGTGGTGTAGGGAGGTTGTGTGGTAAGGTGGTGTAGGGAGGTTGTGTGGTAAGGTGGTGTAGGGCGGTTGTGTGCGAGGTGGTGTAGGGAGATTGTGTGTAAGGTGGTGTAGGGAGGTTGTGTGTGAGGTGGTGTAGGGCGGTTGTGTGGTAAGGTGGTGTAGGGCGGTTGTGTGCGAGGTGGTGTAGGGCGGTTGTGTGGTAAGGTGGTGTAGAGAGGCTGTGTGTAATGTTGTGTAGGAAGGTTGTATGTAATGTGGTGTAGAGAGGTTGTGTGTGAAGTGGTGTGGGATGGTTGTGTGTAAGGTGGTGTACGGAGGTTGTATGCAATGTGGTGTAGGGAGGTTGTATGTAATGTGGTGTAGGGAGATTGTGTGTAAAGTGGTGAAGTGATGTTGTGTGTGAGGTGGTGTAGGGAGGTTGTGTGTGAATTGGTGTAGGGAGGCTGTCAGTGAAGTGGTGTAGGGAGGTTTAGTGTGTCAGGTGGTGTAGGGAGGTTTAGTGTATCCGGTGGTGTTGGGAGGTTTAGTGTGTCAGGTGGTGTAGGGAGGTTAAGTGAGCCAGGTGGTGAAGCTAGGTTTAATGTGTCAGGTGGTGTAGGGAGGTTTAGTGAGCCAGGTGGTGTAGGGAGGTTTAGTCTGTCAGGTGGTGTAGGGAGGTTTAATGTGTCAGGTGGTGTAGGGAGGTTTAATGTGTCAGGTGGTGTAGGGAGGTTTAGTATGTCAGGTGGTGTAGGGAGGTTTAATGTGTCAGGTGGTGTAGGGAGGTTTAGTATGTCAGGTGGTGTAGGGTTTATTTTGTCATGTTGTGAAGAAGTATGTTTTTTTAGGTGATCGCACAAGTAATGTTATGTCATATCCTTCCTCGCATTTTACTGTCAACACACGTGATTGGTTCATACCTTCGATACCCTCCTTACCTAAAAGACACATGATCTTGGATCTTGGGTATCGCTCAGCAACACACTTCCTGCTAACGTCCTGAGCATAACCAGCGCGAGACATTATAAATACCTTGGCAAATATTTGCAGTACATAAAAACGAATATCAAATTTCCGCAAAGGTTTCCCAAATACTAAACTATTCATGACATTCACACAATTATTACAGCGTCAGTGAATTCAATACCACCAATAGTACTCAACAATTGATTATGTGAAAAATAGCCCGCTGTGTATCGACATTAAGGAATAAAAATGATGGAGAAAGGCTTTATCGATTTACTGAAACAAAATTAACTGAAGACAATGGATTTTGAATAAGGGGACTTTTCTTTTAGTAACCAACAGCTTGAGAAACTGTAAAAGTCGATAATTTACGGTACATGTGTAGTGTTGAAGGGCCTATACCCTATAATGATGTTAGCTGTTTTACAATTATTAAGTTAAAATCCAATTTACCAGAAGTCATACATGTTAATTAGATTTTCAGTTACTCAAGGCCACGCACCCTTCTGTTAACTGTTTCGTAGAACATCTTTACTGAACAGTTAACAATCTGTTCTATGTAAAAGGCAAAACTGTGTTTCAAGTACAGTGTATCTGGAAATATGCAGGATAAAAATGGTTTTCGAGACAAGAACGTTTTGGCATAGATGGACTGAATCCATGTTTGCGGCTCGGTTTTGATTAAAGTTTTAACACAAGTTCGTTTCTTTGTCAAATTTAATTAACTCACTTTAGTGCCCGTAATACATATGTTACCCATTTGTTCAATATGAAATATAATGCGATGTATTTTACGTGAAACCGTCATGGTCAAATTTATATTGCGGTGAACGGAGACAAAACGTTGCGGTAGAACGTACATGTAGGACTCGCAGAATATGGAATGTGACACATCGTGATAAAATAACATGTTTGTATGAATAATCACAACACGATACTTAAATATGATACTGTAGTGACCTATCGCAACATCAAAGTTACATTAAGACTGTGCTTAATTGTGATAACACCATAGTTAAATGGAATACTGTGGAGATTTATCGCAACATCAAAGTTATATTAAGACTGTGCTTAATTGTGATAACACCATAGTTAAATGGAATACTGTGGAGATTTATCGCAACATCAAAGTTATATTAAGACTGTGCTTAATTGTGATAACACCATAGTTAAATGGAATACTGTGGAGATTTATCGCAACATCAAAGTTATATTAAGACTGTGCTTAATTGTGATAACACCATAGTTAAATGGAATACTGTGGAGATTTATCGCAACATCAAAGTTACATTAAGACTGTGCTTAATTGTGATAACACCATAGTTAAATGGAATACTGTGGAGATTTATCGCAACATCAAAGTTATATTAAGAGTGTGCTTTATTGTGATAACACCATAGTTAAATGGAATACTGTGGAGATTTATCGCAACATCAAAGTTATATTAAGACTGTGCTTAATTGTGATAACACCATAGTTATAACAACACAGGCACATTACGACTGTGGAGGACTGTGATAACAACACAGGCACATTGCGACTGTGGAGGACTGTGATAACAACACAGGCACATTGCGCCTGTGGAGGACTGTGATAACAACACAGGCACATTGCGACTGTGGAGGACTGTGATAACAACACAGGCACATTGCGCCTGTGGAGGACTGTGATAACAACACAGGCACATTACGACTGTGGAGGACTGTGATAACAACACAGGCACATTGCGCCTGTGGAGGACTGTGATAACAATACAGGCACATTACGACTGTGGAGGACTGTGATAACAACACAGGCACATTACGACTGTGGAGGACTGTGATAACAACACAGGCACATTACGCCTGTGGAGGACTGTGATAACAACACAGGCACATTACGACTGTGGAGGACTGTGATAACAACACAGGCACATTACGCCTGTGGAGGACTGTGATAACAACACAGGCACATTACGACTGTGGAGGACTGTGATAACAACACAGGCACATTGCGCCTGTGGAGGACTGTGATAACACCACAGGCACATTTAGATTACGGTGGACTACACAAAGACTGCAGTGAATGTTGATAACACCAGTTACGTTAAGATTGCGGTTAATTGTGACAAAACCACAGTAACATAATATTAAGACTGCCGTTCATGGTGATAACGCCACATTTCCATTCAGCCTGCGATATATGATTACTGCGGTTAAATGTTATACACTGGGATAACATGCTGGTCTTCTTGACATTATGGACTTCTTTGGGGGGGGGGGGGGGGGTATCACAACGTCACAGTTACATGTAATACTGTGCGAATTATGTCAACACTACGGCCAAATGAAATACTGCTCTTAATTAAATAAACCCAACACCCTCGGTTGTTAATGTAAGACGTTTGTGAATTATGTCAACATGGTCGTACAATGCCTCAGATAAAATAAAATATTAGAGGGAATTCAGCCCCCCCCCCCCCCAAAAAAAAAAAAAAAAAAAAAAAGAAAAAAGAAAGAAAAAAAAAGAAGAAAAAGCAAAACACACAGAAGAGTAATGGTTTAATTTATGCATATGTGAGTCAAGGGGTTATTCATACGTGTGTCAACGATTGTGTCATCATCCCTACATCACAAGATAATCTTAGTCAGCAATGATCTCGGTGAGTCAATAGTACTGTCAGCATAGCGATACACAGTAGGGACATTAAAAACGTACTTATATATTTATTCATTAATTAATGAGTCTTAATTTCGACGTTTCATTTGCTGATAAGTTTAGACGACATGTATCAGACATACCAGACTGTGGATATAACTTTGAAGATGCAATTCACTTTATCGTTACCTGTCAAAAATACAATAATTATCAGAAACACTATGCATTTCTACACACATGGGTATAATTTAAAAACAATATTACATGGCAATAGTTAAGTCAGCAGTTCTACAAACATGGATATTCGTCAATCACTTAACGACCTAATTATCAAAAGCAAAATATTTGAGTAGCTTTAGTTTTGTGCATATAGCAATGGAAAAATGCATTTTTTTATTCACAGACACCATTGACATCACTGACTTTCATTTGTGAATTTTCTATATTTATGTTTAGCACTTTCTTTTACAGTGTATATACCCAGCTGTTGTTTAGTTATTACATGGAGAGATAATAACATAAGCAAGTTTGAATTGTTTACTGATCAAGATTTCTTTTGAAATATAAATGTGTTTTAACCATACATCTTAGTCAGCAATGATCTCAGTGAATCACTAGTCCTGTCAGCATAGCGATACACAGGAGGCACATTAAAAACGTACATAAATATTAATTAATTAATTAGTCTCCCGAGTCTTAATTGAAGAATTTCATTTGCTTTGCTGGCTAACTGTTCTCGGCACAGACCGTCAAGGAGCACCTGTTCTCTGTCAACGCCTATTGTTATTACTAGCACTGATAATTTACGATCGATGAACCAGCCGCTCTCCCACACCGTCCCATAATGCCTTTCCATAAACATGACCTACAAGTGATATCGCGACGGAGTAGCGGTAGTGTCGGTCGACTCGGGGGTGATGTGAGGGAAAACATATGTAGCACACGTTGACTGAAGAACCATCTGAATGTGGGGCACCCACACATATGTCCCAAGAAAGAGGTGAGTTCGCTTCCCTCGTACTGTAAACGGCTTCTGCTGTAGACCGAATTATCTAGTATTAGCATACAGTCTAGGCAGTCTCGCGCTGAGGCTGGTGTGTGAGAGAGAACACATTCTTTCCACTGAATGGGAAGCGGTGCGTGTGTGGATGCTAAGGGTATTGATCTGGGCCGGCACATACGACATGAGGTTTGATATTCATTTCATTGATGCTTGACTTTTATTGCACCAGCGGGACCAACATGGTTCTTCTAGAAGCTGAGGAGGTGTTAGTACCGATTCCAATGTCATCCATTTCTTGATCTCCGTTGAACTTTGACATCCCGGTAATTAGCAAATGCTTTGCGACTTATTGCTGAACATGTATATGTAGGTCTGTGTGTCCACTTCGCTCCCTTGTGGATAGGCACTGTGGGTTAAGTCTTGTACTGCTCAGCTTTGTCATGCTTTCTCTGCACACGCTCGCTCATTGTAATGATAGCAAATCTGATATAGATTGGCACCGATTTGGCACAGTGAGTATTTGTTAGACTACGAGTTACGGCCCTTGTGTACCGAATCTGTCAGCAATTCTCCAAGGATTACTGAAGATTCGTTAATGATGCAGCGCGTGTTCATGTAATCGCTTCACGGCTATGAGAAGAACCCGGAAATGATTCAGTACCTAGCCAAGCAGAAAACAGCATCTCTGACTCAGGGTTTGGTTTCTGTGTTTTCTTTGTAATTGATATGAGCATCCTTAAGCATAGCGCCTCATCAGCATGTGGTGTCAATCGGTTTCTATAGTAACTGTGGTTTCGTGGATTTGCCGTGAAATATAGATGAGGATAAGTTTACCAAGAACTGATTGAATTTTCACAACCGCGGACGTGTGAATATATTGCACAGTATATTTTGCTCCATCTAGTTCCAGTTATCACTGCTTCTCTACCATGATGTAGGGTAGGGTGGTGCATTACTCGTTTAGGGCGACGCTTCCCTGCATTGGGGCCCCGAATGAGATTATTGATGGATGACGTTGGGTCAGCGATAAGATGAACTCAAGATATGACGTTTCATGAATAAATCATGAATATTACGGTTGTAACCATTTTAGTTGTAACTGGCTGACGGTTCCGCGTGTAGTTCTATAGTATCCATTGTAACCATTTGCGCTCGTGTTTCCAAGCTACTGCAGCAGCTGCCAGCACATCTACATCCCGATGATCAGCTGTTGAGGTGTTATTAATTCAATTATCCTCCGCTAATGCAATGACTAAAGCTCTTTATTGAGGTTCAGTCATGGTTTCTCGACGATTGCCGTTTGGGAATCCTTATACAACGACTCTCGCCTGTTACATCCATGGAAGTGTTATGACTGACAGTATCAGGTCATGACCTCACGAGTAGAGTTCAAAACATACCAATCCTATACCGATTCCATATATCTTCATATCTTGTTTCCTTTGATATATTTCGTATCTTGATATTTTGTATACTTTCATACATTTTGCATATGTCTTGTTTGATATACTTCGTATCTTGATACCTTGTTCATCAGTATATATTGATTATCGGGATATGTTTTATTTTTCTTGCCATTTATATACTTTATATCATGAATTTATATATTATATATGGTGAATTTATATATTATATATCGTGAATTTATATATTGTACATCGTAATGCATTGCTTATCTGTATGATAGTTTGTTTATCATGATATGGAGAATTGTTTTGAAAACAGTCTTTGTATATTGTTTATCGGGATATGTTGTTCACAAGGATATATTGTTCATTAGGATATATTGTTTATCGGGACCTACTGCTTACCAGGATATTTTGTTCTTCATGATATATTGTTCATCATGATATCTTGTTTATCAGGACATATTGTTTACCAGGATACATTGTTCTTCAGGATATATTATTTATAAGGATATATTGTTTATCAGGACATACTGTTGACAAGGTTATATTGTTCTCCAGGATATTTTTTATTGATATGTATTGTTCATCAGGGTATATTGTTTATTAGGATATGTTGTTCATTAGGATATATTGTTCATCAGGACATATTATTAATCGGCATGTATTGTTCATCAGGATATATTGTTTATGTTGTGCACGATCAGCTGATTGTGAGTTCGAATCCCATATTCGTTACCATTATGACCCGATGCCTGTGAACTCCAGGCCGTGTCGCTGGTCTCATTCAAATGTTCGATAGGACTAGATTGTTTTTCTCAGAACAAACTAAAAGTATGAAACGCTAGGATAATGATTAGCACCATACTAGAATTCATATTGTTTATTACATTTAAGGCAACACCTGAAACAAACATCTCAACCTTTCTGGGGGCATTGAGAAATGAGAAAATTGCCACATCCTTCTGATATCCCCAGATAAACATTCTTAACTAAAAACACAACTTAGAGAACATTTGCATCCGGATAACTTCCGGATACCTTACGCACATCCTCTGGATCCCTTAAGCAGACTCCAAATTTCTTGGAATTTCTCGGACGTTTTCTTAGTAATTGAACAAAATACACGACCAAACATTTGGACATTTTTAAAAGTTATCCTATATCACTTTTTGAAATGGCCTCCACATCATAGTACCCGTCATTATATCACTGAGCATCGTTAAACTTCAAATCACTCATGCTGTCTAATTATAAGTGCTTCCACGATCCCTTTCAAAGCGAGGATGCTCTTTCTAGAGAAGTGTACTTTTCAAGACAGCTGCCTCCCGGAATGTCGATAATTGTATTAACGGAGTTTGGGTTAGAATAATCCGTCTTAGAGAAAATACCAAAAAAAAGATGGCATGAAAAAGAGTTCTAATCAATAATGTGCCTCAACTTTTGAAAACGAAATAGTTTTAGAGATAAAAGAGAAGGCTATGCTTTCTACGATGTACGAAGGGTGTTTGTGAACTAAAGTTGTATCAGTGGATAGAGCCATAGTAGGCACATGATGTTTACACAGTGTAGGCATGTTTTGCGTGAACTGTAGTAGTATCAATGGATAGAGCCATAGTAGGCACATGGTGTTTACACAGTGTAAGCATGTTTTGCGTTAACTACAGTAGTATCAGTGGATAGAGCCATAGTAGGCACATGGTGTTTACACAGTGTAGGCATATTTTGTGGGAACCATATTAGTATCAGCGGATACAGCCATTGTAGGCACATGGTGTTTACACAGTGTAGGCATGTTATGTGTGAACTATAGTAGTATCAGTGGATAGAGCCATAGTAGGCACATGGTGTTTACACAGTGTAGGCATGTCTGTGTGAACTTTAGTTGTATCAGTGGATAGAGCCATAGTAGGCACATGGTGTTTACACAGTGTAGACATGTTTTGTGTGAACTGTTGTAGTATCAGTGGATAGCGCCATAGTAGGCACATGGTGTTTACACAGTGTAAGCATGTTTTGCGTGAACTATAGAAGTATCAGTGGATAGAGCCATAGTAGGCACATGGGGTTTACAAAGTGTAGGCATGGTCTGTGTGAACTTCAGTTGTATCAGTGGACAGAGCCATAGTAGGCACATGGTGTTTACACAGTGTAGACATGTTTTGTGTGAACTGTTGTAGTATCAGTGGATATCGCCATAGTAGGCACATGGTGTTTACACAGTGTAGGCATGTTATGTGGGAACCATAGTAGTATCAGTGGATAGAGCCATATTAGGCACATGGTGTTTACACAGTGTAGGCATGTTTTGTATGAACTGTGGTAGTATTAGAAGAGGGAACCACACTAGGCACATGAACATTAAATCCTCAGTATGTTCTAGATACAATAAGCCTATTCCAAACTATATCGTGTATACATATACCGTTCAGTTTCACCAGCCATCATCTCGCCAAAAGGCACAGGTTGAATTATTATATTACATGTCACGCGTTCCTAGATATTCATTAAGGATTCCGCTACAAATATACACAAACTGAGTATGGTTTTACGCCGCTTTTAGCAATATTCCAGCAATATCACGGCGTGGGACACCAGAAAATGGCTTCACTAACTGTACCCATGTGGGGAATCGAACCCGGGTCTTCGGCGTGACGAGCGAACGCTTTAACCACGAGGCTACCCGTCCGACCAACAAATTGATGTTAATGTTGAGACAAGGGACTGTTATCCTCAAGTTGTTTAATCCCATCTCGGTAGTAGAAGAGTTCCGAATTTCGGTGTAGGACAGCCGCGACTGTCGCATGTCTTTGTTAAAATAGGAGAGTGAATTAGTGAGTGAGTTGGGTTTAATATCAGTTTGAACAGCATTCCAGTTATATCAAGGCGTGTCAGCTTAATGTGGGAGGAAAGTCCGACGTGATGCATGTCTCAGACGTTTACCACTTCGGTGAAACCCTCGACCGCGGGAATGGTGCTGACAAACCTTGAAGCACAGAACTCGCCACCGCGGGTTTCTGGCCAAGGGACAGAACTCTGCGCAGCGTATGACGCCGCCACATACAACTGGGCCACCCATGCCCCTTGCTGGAGTAAGAGTGTTACGGCTGTCGTAAATCTGTGCTAAGATATTATAGTATTGACTGTTGTAAGTCTACGTTAATATTCTAATCTCTTTTATGTCGATGTTAAAATACAGAAGTTGCAACTGTCTTGTTAGTGTTAAAGTTGTAATACTTGGAACCCCGTCTGTTGTCTGTGTAAGATGTCTTTGTACAACCTGATTGTCATTGGTAAGGGGAGGTAAGGGGAAGCTATTCCAATTACACGAGAGTATGTCTCTGTTGACGTTCCATCCCTAGATGATACGATAAGGTGTCATTTGGCTACGTACACAGCCAGGATTGTGAGTGATGTTAGCCTTGCTCCAAGGCTGTACTGAAAGATAAGTGCATGAATGTGTACTAGTACCTCTATCTATATAACAGGCAAGTCTAGATAAGTGGGCGGTGAAAGTCTGAGTCTCTTATAGGGACAACTTGTTCTTATTATTTATATAATCTCGAAATTATGATTAAACTAATAATTATT